AGAAAAAAGACAGTTCTATCATATGAATTCCTGAAATATCTTTTTGGAATCTTTCTGAAGAATATTTTGACAGAGAGAATTTGAGAATGTAAAATTATATATTCTTTGATTTACAGCCCTTTAACCTGGTCATGGTATTCAATGATGTACATCTATATGCCGTGATTTTTTCTGTGGTAGTTATAAATTATACATTCCAAGACGGTAAAAGTGATTACTTTCAAGGTAAGAATTGTGTTTCTGAAAATGTTTATTTGTTTGTTTGTTTGTGGGAAGAAGGGTAGGGTGAATCTATATATTGTCCTGTAAGAACAAGAGATAAGAGATAAAGTTTTAGGCCTCAATTTACCTCCCAAATTCTGGCTCATAGGCAAGCATACCTGGGGGGGGGCTTTGTATGAGATTGTATGTATATTATCATAAAATATTGTTTTGGTTAAGGGCATATTCATGAATCTCATTTTAGAAAAAGACAATTTTCAAACTTAAATTTGTTCATATATATTGACTAATTTAACTTTCTTTCTTTTCAGGTTCGGCATTGGTTATCATATATATTGTCATTCTTTGTATGTATTACTTCATGCCTATACCTGAACAAGTCAAATGTGCCTGATGGACACTAGATGTTAAAAAAAGGAGATACATTCACTATATGCTCTAAATCTCTACAATGGCATATATTCTTTAATGTTAAATTTTTATCACATTAAGTAACATAATGAAAAAAAAAATTGTGTCATAATGATCTTCAAAACAAGCATTTTTCTTTTATAAATTCATGTTTTTATTTTCACAAATTAGATTTTTAAGTATAGATACTGAATTTTCTTACGATGCTTTATGACTACTTATAAGATCTACTTATACATATTTAAAGATCTTTTTTAATCTAATAATGTTTCAAAGAGATTCACACAGTAAATCTTGATAATAATTGCATAGTTTTTTTTGCCTGTTACAGTGTCATTCATTTTTCTGCTTTATATAATCTTTTTCTGATATTGATATACTCAATGAAAGCATTCCAATACTTTCTATTGCAGACCAAATTTTTATGTTGATGTTTGATCTTTGAATAATTATGGTTATCTTTCTTAAAAATTACTTTAAAAAAATCAAAACTTGGATGTCTGATATGCTATAAATATTCAGGGCATTAATAGTATTAGTCTTCACTTGAACAAATGTTCACTTCAGGGTCATATATGTGTTATGTTTCTAGTCTGATTTTTATGTTAATTACAAGGAAATAGAGTAAAATTTGATTAGGACATTATTTTTCATCCTTACAATTCTCTTACAATGTTATTGAATTAATTGTTATGGCATAATAAAATTATTGCAGCGGTAATTTACAACGAAAATAATGCAGGTCTGTCCTGTTTCTTACACTTCAAAAAATATATTTATTAAAATCTTTTTTTCGCATAATGTTTTAGCATAACACAATAATATATTGATTTAACATTTTATAGGATTTTAATTTTATGAAGTCTTCATTTTCATACAGTGTTCTTTCTTTTTTTAATAGATTTTCTCGTTGAATTACTGTTATACTTCTAAGATCTGTTGTTGCTGTTACAATTTTTATCATAATTCATTGATTACCTTTGAACACACGTGTTTTCTCATATTTGTAACTATTATAAAATAAGAGAGTTTTTTCAGTTCTTCTTTACAGTCACACATATGAATGAATATGTGCAATGTTTTAATCAAGCTTGTAGCAATTTTCTGTTTACATGATTAATAGATGCATATAAATTTGCCTCAACATGAAAAAAATGACCAGAAATAAAACCAAACATTAATCTGAACTGATGTTGAAGTCTATTTGAATTTCACATCCTTTTGGATCAATTTTTAAAAAATCTTTTTTAAAGAAAAGTGCGGTATCTTGATGACAAAATATTAAGATTTTCCTTTTAAGAAACATCAACCATATTGTCATTAATTTGATGTATTTGTGAAATACTGATGCCCCATACGACAGCTTTTTGTAAAGAATAAAGTTTCTCAAATGCAAATCAAACTCCAAGGTTAAGAAAGAAAAACAACAAATATATTGTTACCCAAGGAAAGGACATTTGACAATAAATATGCTCATGAAAATTAAAAGCCTTTAGAAATAAGCACCAACAATTTAAATGCTATTGCCAAGGTTCAAGTTTTATTTTAAAGTGGGTCAAACTGCTAGGTCAAGGTCAAAATTGTTGGTATCTGAAAGAAGGTCTTGTCAAAAGAAGTACACCTATGAAATAAGATTGTCCTAGTACTTCAAGTAAATGTTCATAATTGATGGCCAAGGTAAAAGTTTTTTTTTGAAAATGGGTCAAACTCTTAAGGTCAAGGTCAAAAAATATTTATGCAAGTAGAAAAGTTTTATCACGGTGAATGCATTTATGAAATATGAAAGCCCTAGTTTGAACTGTTTCAAAGTTATGCCCAAGGTTAAAGTTTGGAACATATTTGCAAAAGTGGGTCAAACTTCAAGATTAAGAGGTCAAATGTGTTGGTATTCAAAGGGAGGAGTTGTCAAAAGGAATACACTTGTGGAATATGAAAGTCAAAGCTCCAGCCAATCAGAAGATGTGAGCAAGCTTCGTGCTTCTGTGGAAAAACAGATAGACAGACAGACGGACAGGGCATACATTATGTACCCTCGAATCTTCCAGGGGACAAAAAAAAAAACATCAAACAAATTGTTGATTAATTAGAGACTTGAAAGAACGTTCTTAATTTTCGGTTTCGGAACGTAATCTTTTAATTATACAGGTGTTATGCGTACATGCATTTAGCATGTCATGTAAATTAACGGTGATCACGAGTCACTGGAAGTATGACCGAAAAGTTCAAGAACAGGTGTGACGAAAATTAAAGTCTGAATCCCACGCATGTTTAGTTTACACCCGTTTTATGCTTGTTTGATGGGATGTCAGATACATTCGATAATCTTCCAGGTAGTGCGCAGGTAGTACTCCAAAAATTACTTTTCTAGGTGCAATGAAAAATTTTAAAGGTGTAGAGCAAACAATAAATTAAGCTTAAAGCACATAAAAGTTGTAAAACCTACTCGATCACTGTGCACTTATATACGCAGACATTGTGACTAATGGTAATTCATTATTAAACAACAAATAACGAAAACACAGGTAAACCTTTGACTAAGTAAAGGGCTTCAATGTTCGTCCTACGGGAGAAATGCATGACATCAAATGACACAAAATGCCAAGAAAGACTAAACAAGAAGGAAAAAAATGATAACTTTAACTTCTTGATAAAAATATATTAAATTATAGGCACGTAGTATTTTGAGGGGGCATCACTCTTTTCCCCTTATATAACCCTTTACTACTGAAAATAATGATTGAAAGCCTGCCCCCTCCCCCGCCGATACTAAAATTAAGTGCCTTAAATCACGATTTTTTTTACACCTCAACAAAAAGCACGTCTGAAAATTGAATGCCAATGATCAGCAGATCAATTCTCTCTCTGTCCTTGACAATATAATAAAACAAAATTGAGGAATGATTCAAACGCAGAATGCCCCGTATAGACATCACGTTGAACAATAAACAAATTATTGTCATGTTAGATATGTCAGTTTACGGAGGCAAGTAGCAGATAAACAAGGATGATACTATACATCCAACGAGTAGGATGTCAATTCCACTTTTTTTAATGTATGCTTTCCTTATGTGAGCTTCCATGCACATGTCTGCCTCAAAATAAATCCGACATTAATAGCGCTATAACTGGGGGCATACCTGTTAAGTATACAAATATATATGATATTGACTCTTAAATTATTTAAATCCATTACATGAATCTTGCCTAAAGTGAAGTTTAAAACCTGTTATCATTTCAAAACTTTGTACTCTCTCTCTCTCTCTTCCTGAGAATTAAGCATTTGACCGGATATACTGCTCAAATTCGAACTGTATAGAATGATCGAAGACTGCATCAATAATTTCGTTTTTGTTTCTTTGTTATAAATTTGAAAAAAAAAAAAATTCTGTTGGGAAGAGAATAAGTGACATACAGATAAGATACAATATCTACTAAAATGTTTAAATGATTCTATTGCATTATTAATTAATCGTGTTAATCGCGCTCGTTTAGAAACTCTTACATGAATAGATCTAAATATCCCAATAAATTTCGGAAAAGGAGATGAGATAATTTACTACGCCTTGAGTTTATCTCGGCCTTGACGAAAGATTTGGCCTCATTATTGGTAATGTATAAAGCAAAATTAACTGATCTATAGTTTGGATTGCTTTAAATTGGTTAAAGAATAAAATTAAGATTTTATATGAAATGATTATAATTGCAATCGAAATAAACTTTAGCCTAACTTTGCTTTGTACAATGGAAACAATTTAAAAAAATAATAATTTTAAGGAGCAAATATAAATAAAATATTCTTTTTTTTTAATTCTTAGCTAAGGAATTTAGTTGCTCCCAGTTAGTTGTTCGCCGTGTCGTACTTCTGTCTCAATTTTTCGTTTGACGAAAAAGTCATTAATTATAAAACTCATTAAACCTATCAACGATTCATTCTTTTTTGTAAATACTTTACCTTCAAATATAGGGTCCTTCTGTCTTAAGCGATTTTTTTATCGGTAAAAACACATGTTTAATCACCTTTACGCTAAAGAGCAACTTTCGATCAAATGTAAATACGTTTACTATATTTGTGGTATTTTAGATTTACATGAATAACTCGCTTTATACTTTTTTTGTTCAATTAGTGCAGACAGACCGGTTTTTATACATATTTATACATCCCACTTATTTGTATAACCTGCTTTATGTTAATGAAACACAATATCTAAAAATTGTGGAAAATTAATCATGTGTAATTCTTATCAGGTGAAGCATAAAGTTACCATGCATGTCAGAAAGATGGAAAACAAAGAAATAGCTTTCCGTTTTAAGAGAATGTTTGTTTTTCCTAACTTGAGTCACTGATGCATCTCAGGCAAAGTACGCGCATAACGCGAACACTGTATCATTTGAGTGCGCATACATCGTAAAATATTCGGCGATAACATAAGTTTTTCAAAGCGGGTTATTAAGAGTGTGTGCCTATACGTCTTAAATGTATCGATTGAGTGGGGTTATTTGCCTCAGGTTTTGAAAACGTGAAGGATAAAATTAAAGGTGTTTCGCCCATAAATTGTTTAACCTCTCGGATTTGATAATAATGACTTCCATGAGAGAAGAATCTAAGGGTGGAAGATTCAACAAGAAGAGGAAACAGCAAAGAATAAAACGATACAGATCCGACGGCTTTGTGGTGGGGAGGGAATTTTCAGACGATGAACTGGATGCACCGGAAGGGTCCTCGGATGCCATCCATTTTCTGGACTGGCTCCGGAACCCTTCCCTCCAGAATTTGGTCAAACTCAGAAAGAGTATCAAACACAATGATAGTGACTGGATGACGGAATTCCTGGAGTTTGACGGTCTGGGATTGTTGTTTCAATGTCTGAAGAATCTCAGCTCCAGAGAGACCGTGCATTTGTCTGAGATGGTTCTGAGATTAGAGTGTATTATGTGTATCAGGGAAGTGGCCAACTCACAAACTGGACTGGACTGTCTACTGAAGACCAAAGGTCGCAAGGACAATATCTTCGGGAGGAGGTTTGCCACAGGTAATATATCTAAACCTCCTTTTTTAAGTGTAATTGCTAGATTCTTTAAAAAAAAGCAAGAATCTGAACAATTTTTAGCTGTTAGCGATGCTAGAAACATCGAGCAGAAACATTGCCCTGGAACAACTTTTCTAATTTACTGAAGTTATCACTCATACTAATTGCTATTCGCGAGGCCAGTTTTAATGATAAGACTTTGTCCACATTATTTAAGTTTAATCTTATAAATAATTCATTTATTCCCGAGACCCAGAAATGGTGAATAGAATTTGACTTCACATTACGAACATGTATAGATGCATTATGTCTCTTCACGTACTCTTTCAAATACTCGTACTCAAGGAATACGTACAGTAATGTAAACAAGTATAAGACATTGTCTAGTATTATTAAGTCATTTTTCTTTCATGTATCATAACTTCCAAAGGGATTAGATCACAAAAACACTGTCAAAGTATGCACTCATCTGATCCAAAAATGTGTAACGTATAACACTCGCGGCGCACAAGTCTGATTTTTCGCTGCACAGTTAACTTGCATTAAATCAAAAAACACCGCCGGTAAGAATAATATAGTGTTCGACTGATTAACTTTACTGCTATCAAAGTCTACACAAGACGGCAAGATTGATATGAATGTATGAATTAGGCGAAGAAAATTCTATATTTATCTGGCTTTATCTTGAGAGCTGATAGATTTTCGTAGGTGCAGCCAAAACATGCAAGGTTTTTTATAAGGGGGAAAGGATTTTGATAAATATTTCATTCCATTTTTTTTTCACTCTCGTCTCATAAATATGAGAGCATGAAGAGATGTGCACAACATATCATAAATCGCCCTTAACATTCAACTTATTTTCTTAATTACACCAAAAGAAAGATAAAATCTTGTTAGGCATGTGTTTCATTCAGTTGCAAGTTGCGTAATTTCTAAAAGTGCATCTCATGCAGGTCGGAAAATAAGCTTTATTACATGTTACTGGCATATCTTTTCATTAGTAAAGACACGCTTTAGACATGAGCTAGGCTATATATTCAGAAATGAAATATTTCAAAAAGCATTTAGATAATGAATTGGTTTTTTTAGTGAACAGTTTGTTTTAAGAAAATAACGAGTTTTTGCATGTTTATTTGTGTACATTGCCACGCATACAGACAGACCGTCCGATCCATGCATGTACGAGGGTTGATCAAAAGGTGGTGGAATTTCTTTCTTAAATTTTATCGTGATTTGATGAAAGCAAACAACAGGCATATTTATAATATAGAGTCATAATGCAACAATATTGGAAAATTTTACCACTTTCCAAATACCAATAAGGTCACACGACCTTTCTGAAAATGAATAGCTGTGAAACCCGGGGGAGACTTCGACGTTGCGTCAAGTTAGGTATGTCTCGTCACGTTATAGAAGCATCTCACCTTAATGTCCAATTCGAATGCGTAATTCTACAAGATGCTGCCCTTTTGTCCATTTTTTTTTCTCTCAGGAAAAGCCTGGGTATCCTCTCGCATCAGCTTATCTTCATTTTTCACTCATATATCAAAATAACCCCATCTTTCCATATGATGTTCCAATTTCAGTAGCAATGTCAAGAACAGTACGTCAGTCAAAAACGTCCATTAACGCTTTTAATTTGTTTAGGGGGATAAACACTTAAAACAGAGTCTCCAAAAAGCGGACACACCTTTAATCAACGTCCATAGAAGTTGTATTTTTCTTTAATTTCTTATGCCACTAGAAAATCAGTAACTAAATGCAGTTTTCATCTGTAAAACTATATTTAACGGTTGTGAAGAGTTGTAAACCATAGTTTACAAATCGTTAAACTGTATTTATCAGACCATCTATGTTTTGCAATCGCAAATGATTGTTTTCAGTGTTAAGTATAGTTTACGCGGTTCTGAAACATAGATTATAGCGTTAAGTATGGTTTACAGATGTGAAATATAGATTAACGTTGTCAACTATAGTTTACAGTCCGTAAACTATAATTTACAACCGATAAACCTAGTTTATCAACTGTGAAACTATGTTTAGCTCATTTTTGTGAACTTGGCGAGCCATACATATAATTTTTGGTTTCTAGTAATGTTCTTTAGCCAATTCAGATGGCAATTACATTTTTATTTTGTTTAACTGACAAACACTTGATCTCACTTCCTGAATTTTACATCATGAAATTCCCTCTTTCCTCGTAATCTTGCTATGTGAACCAAAATAACGGGGTGATTTACCTGTGTCAGTTGACAAAGATACATCTGGTTACAGTGCAGTCGGCTTCGAAAGTTTTGCCAGTTGTCGAAAATAACATCAAAACAAAAGAAATTGAAAGAAAAACTTCCCGCTTGTTATCTCAGAAATTCCTTCTGCAACTGAAATTGACAGGTTTAATTTTGTTGATTCAAATTATGTTTCGTACTTTTCCCCTAACTATACATGGAGGAATTTGATGGCGAAAATTCAAATATTCAAATTCAAAATGTTCCTTATTTCTAATTACAGCTTTGGAGAACAAAAACCTGATGGTGAAGATGCAGATTTTTGAATTGTTGTCAGCCCTTTGTGTCTACTCTAAAGAGGGCTTTTATCTGACCCTAGACGCACTGGAAACTTATCGCGTATGTATGAAATCGATGGAAAAACAATGTACTCAAAAAGAGGCAAACAGTTTTAATTAACATACGCCTTAATGTGGAAGCTTGGCTGAAGAAAAGAAAGCACCTGATCTCACGTCCAACAACCTCGTTTATTGCACTAGAGAAAACTGAGTAATGATAAAATCCGAATTAATACAAGAGGCCCACGGGCCTTATAGGTCACCTGAGTATCATGTATCAACTTTCCAACAATTGAATTTGGTTCGTGTTTTAAACCAGATGCCATGAAATTCAGAATTTTGAAAGGTGCACCGTTGCTTATCATAATTATAAACTTAGCATGCTTACTCTATTTACTTAATACCAAGAGGTAGAAGAGCAACAAAGAGAAAATAGACTTCCACTTCAAACCAGTTGTGCACCCCATCCCAAAGGAAACACTGGCCCTGGGGCCACATATTTCAAAATTTTGAAAATTTTATCATAAAATGGTTGATTAATAACTAAAAAGTAGATTTCAAAATGTTAATTTATTTTCAATCTATGTACCCCCCCCCCACCCCCACCCCACCCCTGACCCAGGGAGCATGAAATTAACCATTTTGCTAGATGAAACTTTCTACATCATAAATATATATACTTGGATCATTGGCATAATACCCAGGAGCAAAGGAAAATATTTTAAAAGCATAAATGTATTTTCACTATATAATCAAAAGAGCCCCCCCCCTTACACCAATTTGCAAAACCCCTGATACAGGGGCAATGAAATTCACAAATTTGGTTGAGGCACTCTTGCTCACTATAGCTATATACTAAGTTAGTTTATTTAATACTCGGGAGCAGAGAAGAAAATTTTCAAAGATTTAATGTACTGAGTATTTTCACGATGTAATCAATAGAGCCCCGCCCTAACACCAGAACCCCTGACCCTGGGGCCATAAAATTCACAATTTTCAAAGAGGCACTCTTGCTCATCATAACTATGTCCTAAGTTAGTTTATTTAATACCCAGGAGCAGAGAAGAAGATTTTCAAAGAATTAATGCATTTTCACTATATGATCCTTAGAGCTCCACCCTAACACCAGAACCCCTGACCCTGGAGCCATAAAATTCACAATGTTGGTAGAGGCACTCTTGCTTATCATATCTATGTACTTATATATTATATTTAATATAATATGAATTTTAATAATGATAATAAAAATAAAAAATATTTTATTTTATATTTATATAGAAATAAAAAAGTAAAAATAAAAAATATTTTATTTTATAATTAATACCCAGAAGAAGATTTTCAGAGATTTAATGCATTTTCACTATATAATCAATAGATCCCCGCCCTAACAACAGAACCCCTGACCCTGGGACCATAAAATTCACAATTTTGGAAGAGGTACTCTTGCTCATCATATCTATGTACTTAGTTAGTTTATTTAATACCCAGGAGCAGAGAAGAAGATTTTCAAAAAATAATGCATTTTCAATATATAATCTATATAGCCCCGCCCTAGCACTAGAACCCCTGACCCTGGGGCCATCAATTTCACAATTTTGGTAGAGGACTCAATGCTGATTACAATCATACTAACAGTTTGACTGCTTGATGTCCAGGAGTAAAGAAGAAGATTTTTAAAGATTTCATTAATTTTAGTGGTTTTGGCCCCACCCCTCAGGCCCCAGGGGGTTTGGGACCATAAAATTCACAATGATTGTTTCCCTTTACCCATAGATGCTGTATACCAAATTTGGTTGAAATTGGTTCAGTGGTTTCAGAGAAGAAGCTGAAAATCTTCAAATGTTAACACACGATACACGACGGACGACGACGGACGAAAACAGATAGCAATAGGTCACCTGAGTGACTCAGGTGACCTAAAAATACTTAATAAGCTACATTTTTACCATTAAATCCTGTACGTATTAATAATCTCAAGTTTGGTTTAATAATATTCACTCATAAATTCGCGCATTCTTTTCAAACACTACCTAGAAGATATAATTTCGATCACGTGACTTAAATCTAGTACTTTTTTTCCAGACATGGCGGAAGCTTCCATACCGTTTTAGTATATTGGTCAATGAGCTTCGAACAGCAAACTTGGTGACGTACCGCACAACTATCATGGCGCTTATCAATGCCATAGTGGTTGCCAATGAAAACCTCCAAGAAAGAGTCCGAATACGGAATGATTTTGTATGTACGTCACTGTTTTATTTCTAACCATTACATTTTATCACTGTTTAAGACTTTTTAAAAGGATACAGTAGAAAATAATAGATTAAAGAATGAAAACTTAACAGACAGACATGATATTCAATATATATAATCAAATAAATAACATAAAATCATGAAGCAAGATTTGAAGAAAAAAAATTACGCATGCAAGGTAATTATTTTTTCCTGACCTTTTTACAAACTTCATCTTTTCCCCCTCTCTTGCTTGATTTCGTTCTTCACGATTCCATCAAGTTTTTTTTCTTAAATCTTGTTTTATGATTTTTACTTTGAAGATATCAATATTTTGGACACTATTGTGGTATTACGTGAAGAGAATGATGTAGACTTGAATCTCCAGTGTGACATTTTTGAGGAGGAGTTAAGTGCCGACTTGGAGGCAATGGAAGAGTTAAAACAAGCGGCTAATGTCGACATTGGTGATCCACAAGCTCTGTTCAAAGCAATAAATTCACGTGTAAGTTGTAGGAAAAAGGTTTGAAGAGACTACCACCTACACTATATATTAATGAAAAATTATCAGCAAATTTCTAAAGTTAGTGTCATTTTTCATTGACTATTAATTTTCTGACGATCTATTTCTATTTTTAGGTAGAAAACTCACCGTTGTGTTCATCATTCCTCAGTGTTTTATACAATTTATTTCAAATAGACACTAGTCAACCTCGTAGGTAGGTTCGTTAACAATAATATTATAAATAATAGGTATTTGTTTTCTCGTCAACATAGAAATAAAATAATTATAATCATTCTGATGTTTGGTTTCAATTCATTTAAAGTGAACAGATCTGGTGTTCCATAGAAAAACTCGTACAGCAAGTTCTTCAAGCAGACGACAATAGAGGGACAAAGTCGTCTGTAAGAAGAGGGTCCTCTCTACATTTAATGTCTACAATACACATAGAGAGCAAGGAACATAAAGGAACTCAAACAGAATGGGACACAACAACAGCTCCAAATCTCTCTGGGGGAGGTCTACTTCGAGGAAAAAGTCTATCAACAGAAGCCAAACATACAATTTCTGACAGGCTGAAGCAAGCAACAGCACAATACAGGACAGTGCAGACGTCATCCATAGACTCAATAGAATCTGGTGCAATTATCACAGCTCCACCACCGCCTCCACCACCACCTCCAGCCCCCGGGGCGCCTGCCCCTCCTCCGGCCCCACCACCTCCGCCTGGAGTGGGTGCACCGCCACCACCTCCTCCACCACCTGGTGTGGGCGTACCTCCACCACCACCACCTCCCCCTGGTGGTATCCCACCTCCTCCTGCACCACCTGGTATTGGAGGAGCACCTCCACCACCACCTCCTCCTGGT